CTAAACAACCTGTTTTAGTTAGTTTTGCACATTATGACCAAAAGACCTGAGGAGAACAACTTTGAGAAGGAAAAGTTGATTTTGGCTCATATTTTCAGAGGTTTCAGTCCATGGTTGACTGAATCCATTACTTGGAGCCTAAGGTGAAGCAGGACAACATGGTGGAAGGGAATGGTGAAGGAAAACATCTCCGGACATGACTTCCAGGAAGGAGAGAGTGAGGGGGTGGGGAGAGGACACTCAGGAGAGCCAGCGAGTGCAAGTGCTCAACTTCACTCACCAGGGAAAAAATATTAGCACCAAAGCCATGCCCCAGTGATCTACTTCTTCTGGCCACTTAGTTACCACCCAGTTAAATCAATTTAAGTGGATTAATTCACAAATTAAGTTACAGTTCTCAAAATCTAATCTTTATACCTCTGAACACTCTTGCACTGGTTTCACACATGAGCTTTTGTGGGACACCACATATCCAAACCATAACATTCTACCTTTGGCCCCTGAAATCTTGACAAGAACAACTTACAATAGGAAAAAAACCTGATTGTTCATAAAAACTGATTATTAAATTCTTGGAAATTTTGTAAGCCAGTTGTTAAATACAGCCATTATTTAAAAATTAAGTTGTATAAACTAATAATTATATTACCAATTAATTAGATAAAAGGATAACTTATTGCTCAAAACCCATACCTTTATAATTATTTTACTATTAGTATGTTCTTGATCTTATTTACATCCACTTTATCTGCCTGGTGAAAATTCTGTAGAACGACATGCTACTACACATCTGTCATGGTTTAGGTATGAGGTGTCCCACAGAAGCTCATGTGTGAGACAATGCAAGGAAAGTTCATAGGTGATTGTGTTATGAGAGTTTAACCCAATCAGTGAATTAATTCCCTAGTAGGAATTAACTGAGTGGTAAATGTAGGCAGGTAGGATATGGAGGTCAGTCATTGGGTGGCATGCCTTTGGGGTTCTTGGTGAATGGGGCAGTCTCTCTGCTTCCTGATTGTCATGTCCTGAGCCACTTTCCTCTACCACACTCTTTCGCCATGATCTTCTGCCTCATTTGGGGCCCAGAGCAATGGAGCCAGTTGTTTAGGAATGAGACCTCTGAAACTGCAAGCCCCAAATAAACTTTTCTTCTTCTAAAACTGTTGTCATGTCTTTTGGTCACAGAATTGAAAAAGCTGACTAAAACAGTATTTCTTCCCATTTTTATGTTCAGTGATATTATCTTGGTAACATTAAATTGGTTGTGGCAAGACTAGTCATACCCTCATACCATGGAAATCAGCAAATGCTATGAATCAGGACATTTTTGATGGTCTTTGATTTTGAGAAGCATATTTCTGCTGATTCAGTTGTTATTAGAGCTGCTAATACTATTTTATAGGTTATGGCAACTTTGGGTTAAATGTATAATAAATTATTTCAAAATAGAAAGTACATCTAGAACTCATGAGTCAGATGAAAACATTTTTCTAAAAATTTTTAACTCTTCATACAAATCTGTTTTGTGTAAGTCTGATTTTAATTTTAAATGTAAATTTATACAATGACACTCTAGTACTTCCTCTGTGACATTTTATGAAAATTGTGGAGATTGAACAAGAAACTAAGTAGTTTTTGGATTTATTTGTAATTAAGCATAAAATAAAAATAAAAATATATGTCATTAAAAATTTATCATAGGAAAGTAGTGTTCTTTTCTATTATGCATAATAATGCTAAAATTTAATCTCTAATTTGGTGTATATTTACTTTGTAATGTTATAGCAGTTTTCAAAACCTGAGATTCTAAACTCCTTGGAGAATTCCAAGAAGTCCTTTTTATTCATAGTATTTAGGATACAACCTTAAAATATGGCAACTTGGGATACTGAATATTTTAAACTAAAAGAATTCAAGAAATAGTAGGTGCTAAAAGGACTTCCTGATGTTCCCCTGAAGCAGGTCAGAAAGACCAATGTGTTAGTAAGATTTCTATTACTATAACAAACCCCCAAGGTAATCAACTTTAATGAGAAAAAGTTTAGTTTGGTTTCCAGTTTTGGAGGTTCTGGTCCATGATCAGTAGATCCTGCTGCTTTGGGCCTGTGACAAGGCAGCACATCATGGTGGGAGCACCTGAAGGAGCACAATTGCTCACGAGTCCCCACCTTTTAAAGGCCACCTCCCAACAGCACCAACCTGGGGAACAAGCTTCTGCCACATAGACCTATGGGAGATAATTAAGATTCAAGGTATTTCAAGAAGAATATGAAGGGTGACCTCCATATACCTGAAGGTATCCTAATCTCCAAAGCTGGGGGGGAACCAAAAGGAATCTGAATAGGCCTTGCTAACGTCCCCCTGTTCACTCTCTCAGTTCATAACCTTTTTGTGCTATACCTTTTCCCCTGACTCTTTATCCTTCATCAAACCTAGTATAAAAGCAATCAGGTTTTTTAACTGTTTCCTTCCAACTTCATTTCCTCATGAAGTCTCCTGTATCTTGTAAAACTTACATTGAATATATTAAACACATTTATCTATTTTTCTTGTTATTCTATCTTTTGTGACAGACCCAAGCCAAGAATCAAAAAAGGGTAACAGGATAAAGACACCCCCCGCACTCTCACAATATGCTTTCTTGCAATATACACACATATGCCTCTACCTTGTACTAACGTGTAAACAGAGTTCATTGTCTAGTGACAGGAAATGCAAGATCACAAATATTTTTGATATTCTTTTTATTCTGTGAAGATGCCAAAGATGGGATCCAGGGATGGAAGGAGGATCCAGTTTTCTTTCAAGAAGTCTCCTGTCTGTTCCTAGGTTGCAACTTCTGCTGCCACATTTCTGCCACAAGTCTGGGCCCAGGGATGGCCACAGCCATCCCCTCCAACCACCTGGCACCCCAAACTACCTCACACCTGTCTTGCCAGATGTTGGGTCAGATTCTTTGAACACATGTTGCCTATTGTACTATGGGCCCAGAGCGTGGTGTGGTAATTTGAATGTTCTTATTCTTCTTCCTGTTTAATATATCCTTAAGAACAGGCAATATTTAAATAATTAAATAACAAAGAATTATTTTTAATACAAATTTTTCCCAATCATTTTGCTGAATTTCTGCCTTTGTTACATTGCACTCGATCACTTACAAACCTGAACAGGGTGTATGTATCATTAGGCTAAAAAAGTACAGTCAAAGTATTAAAGAGTTACTCATTGATACTCATTAAAGCAGAGTAAGGCAGACTTAATTTTTTTTTTTTTTGTAGTTGTAGATGGACAACATGCCTTTATCTGTTTGCTTTTATGTGGTGCTGAGGACCAAACCCAGTGCCTCACACATGCAAGGCAAGCACTCTAACAGTGAGCCCCAACCCCAGCCCCAAGGCAGACTTAATTTAACAGGACTGCTGTGGTCTTGAAGTGGAGGCGACAGAGTGGGTTCAACTTTGAATAGGTAAGGGGAAGCAGAAATTTGCAACCAAGAGACAAAGTGTGAGTCAACGGACGGAAAATTATTAAAAGAAAATATTATAGATAAAGAATCTGTTCAACTGACCTAACAGGATTCTTCATTACGACAGGCCAGGGTTGTCAGACATCACCTGGGGAGTGGTGGAGTATGAAGAATCCTACCCAACAATGACCAGATAATAAGGGTGGAGAGTTCTTTGCCACAGTTGGATTTTACCAGGAAGGCTACCTTCTCCAAAGACTTAGGAAAATGTTAAGGAGCTCAACTAAAGTTTGGCCAAGAAAAAAAAAAATTGTCTTGAGTCAATTGAAATTTGTTTTATTAAAATACCTACTTGCCCTTGATTTATTTTTAGTTGTGTCCTAATCTCTTTCTGGAATATGGTCCATTTAATTGGCATGAGTGACTTAATCTGTATGAGCCTCAGAGAGGCACTTCTGTAATAATTTATGTTTTAAATTGCTCTGAGTGGACAAAGGTGTCTTATAAGGTAGTATTCCTCTAATTACCAATCCTTTAAAAATAATCAGAGACTAAGTAACAAGAATCAAATCTAATTTCCTTTTGGGCTCCTTTATTAGTCAAGATGAGTGCTTCACACCTTAAAAGAGAAGTAGATATCTTCATGGGCTGGCATACCAATGTAAATCTGTCTCTGACATCAGTACTTTCAATTTTTTTTTTTCCTGTAACACAGAGGAGCATTAAATGAGGGAAGGTGGGGCTGCAAAAGAACTGTTTGATTTTTTTAAAAGTATTTATTTATTGGTTTGTCCTTGAGGAGACTTGAGATATCTCACTATAGATGCTCCCTGACTGACAAGGAGCTATGTCCCAATTAATGCACAGTAAATTGAAGATGTAAGTTCAAAAACAATTAGCACACTCAAACTACCAAACATCATACTTTAGCTGCAAATAGTTTAGCTGATATTAGAATATCAGTTGCTCACCCATTTGACTATGTGGCTGACTGGAATCAAAAATAAAAATAAAAATTCAAAGTATGAACTCTACTGAATATGTATTGCCGGGTTTCTGTTCTCGCGACTAAAAGGCTCAGGGGTCACTCTAGTTAAACTGGGCTAACTGGGCTGAGTGAAATAACCACACAAGGGACACAAATACCTTTTTCTTTGGGGTGACTGTGACGGCAGGCTGCTCTGACCTTAAGGATCAGCTGACCCCTTTTATTGAGGAGAAGCACACGCTGACCCCTTTTATTGAGGAGAAGCTATTCAAATAAGTCAAGGGGTCAGGTTTCAGGGGGCTGAGTCTGTCTTCATGATGTCCACTGTCAGCAGGTTGACTAATACCTGGGTAGGCCACACCCAAGTGCACAGTAAGAGAAGGGGACACACAAGGCACTTCCATGGAAGATTCTGTCCTAAACAGGGCAAGGGGTTATATTACAAAAGAACAGGTGAGCATAGCTTCACCCATGGGGCTGTAGCAAGATACACCCATTTCTGTGACTGAGCACCTCAGCACCCAGCTGGGGAGTGTAACTCAGTCACCCGTAAGGTTGGCCTCCCACAATGTATCACTTTTGCACCAACTTCAAGTTGAAAGAGTTTAAGTAGAACCATTGTAAATCAGGGATCATATATATTTTGAGTTAATCCAAAATTTATCATCTGAACTGAATAGAGATGGCACTGCACCTGGAGGAAAGCTTCAGGCAACTCTGTGCTCAGAAACCTGGAACATGACTTGAGGATCCCTCTCTTCCCCTTTCTTGGCTCTCACTGCTTCTTCAATACTCTTCATTTTCATGGACCCCTCTGATACTTCTTTCAATTAAAAAAGAATACAACTCAGATTAAGGAAGTGGGCAAGGATGTGACGTCTATAAAGGTGAGTTTAAGGAGGAGAAAAAGTTTGCTGTTTATAAAAATCTATTATTAGGGTCATTCTATAGGGTAAAGATATTATCTCTAGAAGTTCCTTGTTAATTATAGGTAAGATTGACATCTTGGCCTATTAGTGAGAATAATGTTATATCTAATATCATTTTTGCAAGGACAACTTCACTATTCCTTTTAGTTTTTAACTTAGAAAGCTCCACTTTTATGGTGTTAACCGGTTCCCACCACATATTTAAGCAGTTTTGTTCGGTGAGCACATTGCTGCACAAAGTATACACCTCAATATATTTTTATTAAGTGAATAGGAAGGGCTGTTTTGTGTGGTGTGGGGAAATAAAATGTGGTCTGGATGTTTAAGTTAACAAGGGTCAAAAAGTTTTGATGAAAGGATGAAAATATCAATGGTTAGGATTTTTCAGTCACTCATTTTAGGTAACCAAAACCAAAAGAGAACAAAACAAAAAATCAAAAAACAAAGTGAAAAGGGGTGAACCATATTCTGTCTTGGAATATGTTTATCTTAATTCACTGAGTTTTCAACATTCTGATACATCTTAAAATTTTAAAAAGTTGGTGTAGTAAAGAGCCACCAAATGGTCAGAGAGAAGAACAATTTCTGCTTTGCATTTTGCTATTATTAGTTTCAGATCAATGAGATTTTAAAAGGATTTTGGAAGGAAAGGAATGAAATGGTGACTTTTTAAAAAAATTTATAAGTTGTGGATGGACACAATACCTTTATTTAATTTATTTTATTTTTATGTGGTGCTGAGGATCCACATGCCTCACATATGCCAGGCAAGCACTCTACCACTGAGCCACAATTCCAGCCCCAAATGGTGACATTTTATTTTAGTGTGTTCTATCTGGATATGTCAAATCCTGGTGACTTCAACAGTAAAATAGCTGAAATTTACAAGGGACCAGAAAATTGATCCTTGTAGAAATTCTACTAATCATCACCCTGGGATATGAAATTCATTTATGCTTTATAATTAGTATTTTAAAAAGGAGAACAATTATTCAGAAAGGCTGTTTAGAAGCTAATGCCAAAGTCCTGATACACAGTTTTTGTGGGTATGTGTTCCTCTAGTTTTTAAAAATTCATATCGACTGAGCAGGAATAGTTCAAACACTGCAAAAGAATTGTTTGATTTTTTTTAAAAAAAGTATTTATTTTAAAAAGTATTTACTTAATTTATTATCAGAGACCAGGAAAAAATCAGATCCAAGAGGTCCAGTTAGAAAGGAAGAAAAAGTAATTTGCTCCGCAACTCCCGAATTATCTTAAGAGTTTAAGTAAAATCTAAAGCGAGGAGAAATGTTCCAGAAGCCAAGTCATCTCCCAGACCCAAATCAAAAATCGAACCTAAGGCTTTTTATACACACAGGCAGAGAAATGGGCGGTAAAGAAAAAACAGCCCTGGCGCCTCGGAACAAACCCGGGCAGGGCGGGCAGGAAGTCCTTGGCCAGGGACACCCTTTCTCCTGGCTTTGGGAAGGTGTTTTTGGAAGCGGTTTCCCGGAGGGTGGGACTGCGGGACCGAGAGCCTGGTGGGAGGGAAAGTCCCGGCGGGGGATGGCGGAGAGGGCGGCGGGACGCGAGCGCAGAGCCGACCCGGAGCGTTTCCCGGGCGCCGCGGCAGCTCTTGTCCTGGGTGCTGAAAACCTGGGAAGTTCCCGGGAAGCGGCAGCCACTTTTATTTCGGAGGGTGGGTGTGGGGTTGCAGGCTGCGCACCTGCTAAACCCGCCAGATCTGCCCTCCTTAACCCCATTCCGGAGAGATGGATGGGGCAGAGGGACTGCGTGCAGGGCTGGGATCACCGGGAGGTCCCGGGGGGTGCCCTTCCAAGCGGCCCGGCGACGCGACCTCAGCTTACCTATTCGTGATCTCTTGCCGTCAGGGTCGTGCGCGCCAGCGGGCTGAGCCCAGCAGAGAGCCAGGGAGGGGGCAGTAGGTGCCAGGTGTTGGGGGAAATCGGCTC